AACAGAATTGTGGATCTGCATTCGAGAATAATGAGTCTTCACTCTAGAAGAGTGGGTCCGGCAACCAGAGTGGTGGGTCTGCACTTGAGAAGCGTGGGTCTGGCCGCTAAATGGTGAGTCTGCACCCTTTAAGAGTGGGTCTGACAACCAGAGTGGTGGGTCTGCAATCTAGAAGTGGGTCCGGCAACCAGAATGGTGGGTGTACGTACACCCTTGAAGAGTGGGTCTGACAACCAGAGTGGTGGGTCTGCACCCTTGAAGAGTGGGTCTGACAACCAGGGTGGTGGGTCTGCACTTGAGAAGAGTTGGTCTGGCAGCTAGAATGGTGGGTCTGCGATCTAAAAGTGGGTCTTGCAACCAGAATGGTGGGTTTGCATTCTTGAAGAGTGGGTCTGACAACCAGAGTGGTGGGTCTGCACTTGAGAAGAGTGGGTCTGGCAGCTCAGCTAGAATGGTGGGTCTGCAATCTAGAAGTGGGTCTGGTAGTTAGAATGGTGGGTCTGCAATCTAGACGTGGGTCTGGCAACATGAATGGTGGGTCTGCACCCTTCAGGCTTAAAGAGTGGGTCTGACAACCAGAGTGGTAGATCTGCACTTGAGAAGTGTGGGTCTGGCAGCTGGAATGGTGGGTCTGCAATCTAGAAGTTGGTCTGGCAACCAGAATGGTGGGTCTGCACCCTTCAGGCTTCAAGATTGGGTCTGACAACCAGAGTGGTGGGTCTGCACTTGAGAAGAGTGGGTCTGGCAGCTGGAATGGTGGGTCTGCAATCTAGAAGTTGGTCTGGCAACCAGAATGGTGGGTGTACGTACACCCTTGAAGAGTGGGTCTGACAACCTTAGTGGTGGGTCTGGACTTGAGAAGAGTGGGTCTGGCAGCTGGAATGGTGGGTCTGCAATCTAGAAGTTGGTCTGGCAACCAGAATGGTGGGTGTACGTACACCCTTGAAGAGTGGGTCTGACAACCAGAGTGGTGGGTCTGGACTTGAGAAGAGTGGGTCTGGCAGCTGGAATGGTGGGTCTGCAATCTAGAAGTTGGTCTGGCAACCAGAATTGTGGGTGTACGTACACCCTTGAAGAGTGGGTCTGACAACCAGAGTGGTGGGTCTGGACTTGAGACGAGTGGGTCTGGCAGCTGGAATGGTGGGTCTGCAATCTAGAAGTTGGTCTGGCAACCAGAATGGTGGGTGTACGTACACCCTTGAAGAGTGAGTCTGACAACCCGAGGGGTGGGTCTACACTTGAGAAGAGTTGGTCTGGCGGCTAGAATGGTAGGTCTGCGATCTAAAAGTGGGTCTTGCAGCCAGAATGGTGGATCTGCACTTGAGAAGAGTGGGTCTGTCAGCTGGAATGGTGGGTCTGCAATCTATAAGTGAGTCTGGCAGCTAGAATAGTGGGTCTGAAATCTAGAAGTGGGTCTTGCAACATGAATGTGGGTCTGCACCCTTGAAGAGTGGGTCTGGCAATCAGAATGGTACGTCTACACTCTAGAAGAGTGGGTCTGGCAACCAGAATGGTGGATTTTCGCCCTGGAAGGGTGAGTCTGGAAACCAGAAAGGTGGGTCTACAATCTGGAATAGTGGATCTGGCAACCAGAATTGCGGGTCTGCATTCTAGAATAGTGGATCGTCACTCTAGAAGAGTGGGCCTGGCAACCAGAATGGTAAGTCTACACTCTGTCAACCAGATTTGGGGGTCTATAAACTAGAATATAGGAGATATGGCTACCAGAATTGTGGGTTTGGACAACCCGAATGGTGGGTCTTCACTCTAGAATAATAGGTCTGGTGGGTCTACACTTTAAAAGAGTGGGTCTGGCAACTAGAATGGTGTGTCTGCAATCTATAAGAGTGGGTCTGGCAACCAGAATAGTGGGTCTGCAATCAAGGGAATCAAGATGAGTGAGTCTGGCAATCAGAATGGTGGGTCTGCACCTTAGGGTAGTGGGTCTGGAAACAAGAATGGTGGGTCAGAATTCTTGAATAGTGGGTCTTCACTCTAGCTAAGAGTGGGTCTGGCAACAAGAATGGTGGGTAAGAATTCTAGAATAGTGGGTCTTCACTCTAGAAGAGTGGGTCTGGCAACCAGAATGGTAAGTCTACACTCTGTCAAGTGTCAACCAGAATTGGGGGTCTAAACTAGAATATAGGATATATGGCAACCAGAATTGTGCGTCTGGAGTCTAGAGTCTAGAATAGTGGGTCCGGCAACCCGAAAGGTGGGTCTTCACTCAAGAATAGTGGGTCTGGCAATCGGAATGGTGCGTCTACACTCTAGAAGAGTGGGGCTGGCAACCAGAATGGTAGGTCTTCGCCTTAGAAGAGTGGGTCTGGCAACCAGAATGGTGGGTCTGCATTTTAGAATAGTGGGTCTTGACTCTATACCTACTAGAAGAGTGGGTCTCCTCTCTAGAAGAGTGAATCTGGCAACCAGAATGGTAATTCTTCACTGTGTCAACCAGAATTGGGGGTCTATGAACTAGAATATAGGAGATATGACAACCAGAATTGTGGGTCTGGACTCCAGAATAGTGGGTCTGGCAACCAAAATGTTGAGTCTGCACTCTAATAGAGTGGGTCTGGCAACTAGAATGCAGACACGTAGCAAGGGGAAGACCCCCGGAAAAAATTGAACCCCAAATAAGCCCCCTAGTCCCCATGGTCGCCTGGTAAGTGGGCTGTGTTTATGACTGTTTGATTAAACGACACGACAGGCAATCGACTTTAGCATTTCGTAAATTATTCCCAAATCCCACTATACAATATGTACTTATTCCATTCAATGTGACAAGTACTGAGTTCCCCCCTAGCCCCCAACTTTGTATTATTGTGATGTCTGAAATTACAAATTTCTAATGCCAAATGTCGTCTGAAACACCCTATTTCTCAAAAATTTTCCGGGGGCTGCACCACCAACTTTGTATTATCGCCGTCCTACAAATTTCTTTAATGCCTAATGTCGTCTAAAACAAATAATTTCTAAAAATTTTCTTGGGGGCTGCGCCACCCCCCCAGCCCCCCAACTTTATATTATTGTGATGTCTGATTATTACTGCGCCCCCCCCCCCCCAGCCCACCAACCTTGTATTATTGTAATGTCTGATTATTGCTGTCCCACAAATGTCGTCTGGAACACCTTATTTCTCAAAAATTTTCCGAAGGCCAGGGCTGCGCCTGCCTAGCCCTCAAACTTTGTATTATTGTGATGTCTGATTATAATTACTGCCCTACAAATTTCTTTAATGCCAAATGTCGTCTAAAACACATAATTTCTCAAAAATTTTCTGATTGGCTGCGCCCCCCCCCCTCCCTAGCCAACCAACTTTATATTATTGTGATGTCTGATTATTACTGCCCTACTAATTTCTTTAATGCCTAATGTCGTCTGAATCACCCTATTTCTCAAAAATTTTCCGGGGGGTGCGCCCCCCTAGCCTCCCAACTTTGTATTATTGTGATGTCTGATTATTACTGTCCTACAAATTTCTTTAATGCCAAATGTCGTCTGAATCACCCTATTTCTCAAAAATTTTCCGGGGGTTGCGCCCCCCTAGCCTCCCAACTTTGTATCATTGTGATGTCTGATTATTACTGTCCTACAAATTTCTTTAATGCCAAATGTCGTCTGGAACACCCTATTTCTCAAAAATTTTGCGAAGGCCAGGGCTGCGCCCCCCTAGCCCCCAACTTTGTATTATTGTGATGTCTGATTATTACTGTCCTACAAATTTCTTTAATGCCAAATGTCGTCTAAAACACATAATTTCTGAAAAATTTTCTGGGGGGCTGCGCCTTCCCCCCTCCCTAGCCAACCAAAGGAGCTTCGCCCCGGCTACGTGTCGTGTCGGGCTACGTGCCCAGAATCGAAAAAACTTAATCTTTAAATGAATAACGGAACCTTCATTATGAAGTTTTGAGATGATAATATAATTGGGAGGCAAATTGGGTATCGGGCTTGGGGCTCATAATGCGCAAAATTTGGCCGCTGTCGAGTGGGTCTGCCTAAAATTCACAGATCTAGCTATGGGTCTGACACATTTGTAAAAAAAAAAACCTTACTTCTCTCCTCTTTCAGTGAAATTCGTCTCGGTAGTAGTTTCCAAGAAAACTTTGAAAATTTTTGACTTACAAAATTTTTGACTTACAAAATGTTTGGGAAAAAATTGTTAGAAACCTAAATTAAAAAGTTGGCCCTTTTTGGCCCCTTGCCCAGATTTCATGGGGGGGGGGGGGGGGGGGGGCGATGGCCCCCCTGCCCCCCCCGCTTCCTACACCCCTGGTGACAATGTAAACATCAACTGATCTTAACTTGCATAAACTACATTGTCATCATATAAAGTTTTCCCGCTTATCAGACCAAATTCAGAAGTAAATAAGTCGCCCAAAATTTAAAATTCCATATATTGTGACAGAATTAACCTCATTTCCCAACAACCAAGTGCATGTATTAGCTAACTATTCAAAACAACATATTTTAGGGCTAAAATATAACATTCTGAAACATTATAAACATTAGTATTAAAATAACTGAAATAAATAAACAAGAAATATAACAATCTCCCGGAATAAATAAACACAACTACAAAATCAAAATCGCAAAGTGATCCCGTGCGCGTGCGCGCGCAAAATTTAAAAACAAGAAGTGCTTCAAAAACTTTGACCTAAGATGGCGTCCTAGAGTAGACCCTTTCAAAGTGCCAATTTAAAATGTGCACGGCACAAAATATAAATTACCTTCCTAACACAGGTTCTAAGAATAATGCCGATTTCCCTACTCGGGTAAAATTTCAATTAAACCTCCGACAGGCTAAATAAAATAAATACGTCAGTCACGCTCTATTGAACGGAATACAAAACAATCAGAATTCAATTCTAATAAAGAGAAAAACATCTACTTCGGAAATACCCAATTCAGGTGAATATGAAACATGAGTGTGAAACATAAGTATGAAACGTAAATATGAAAACCGTGAATATGAAATGTTTACTGATAGCCAGAGTTACTAGACGTGCTATCAGGTGATGGATACAACACTGTGGGAGTTCTGTCTCTACCAGATCTACGCAGTCTTATAGGATTGTCAATAGTTTTGGTTACAGCCTCATTATTACTTTCGTTTTCATTAATCACATTATCTGGAGGCACAATACTGTCATGAACATCGGAAGTCACAATATTGTCATAAGCATTAGGCCGGGAATCATCACCAATAGGAGCTAGGTGTTTATTGGAGACCGTCAGCTCTACCCCTTCTCCAGTTCTGACATGACTGGTGTTAGGATTGACGTCCAGAAGCTCCACTTCTTCTACGAGAGGATCGTACTTTGATCGATTGGTGTGACGTTTCATTAGTGCTTTAGAGTTATCTGTTAGCCACCCAGGAAGAGAGCTACCAGTTGTTGATTTACGAGGAAAATTAAACACACGTTCGTGAGGGGTATCGTTAGTTGCAGTGCAGAGGAGGGACCGTATAGAATGTAAAGCATCAGTAATCACCTGCTCCCAAAGTTTTAGTGGAAGTTTTCTCGTCCTTAAGGCTAATTGTACAGCCTTCCACACTGTTCCATTGTATTTCTCCACTTGACCGTTTCCTTGGGGATTAAAACGTGAAGAACGGCTTGTAGCAATGCCTTTTTCTAGTAGCCATTTCTTGAGTTCTGCAGACATGAACCCACTACCCTGATCGGAGTGAATGAAGGACGGCATGCCAAATACTCCAAAGATTGACGTTAGACAGCTTTTGACAGAATCAGTGGAAGTGTCGGTACAGGGAAAAGCAAAGGGGTAGCGAGAATATTCATCTACGATAGTGAGGATGAATTTGTTTTCGTGTTTGTTGGGAGTGGTCCCTTGAAATCCAGGTTCAAACGCTCAAATGGGGCCGTAGCTTTTATAAGATGCTGGGGCTGTTGAGGTTTAAAATAGCGTGGCTTAACCTCGGCACAATCCCTGCAGGATCTTGTCATTTTCTTAATATCTTCCACAGAGAAAGGAAGATTCCGAGAGCGAACAAAGTGGGACATACGCGTTACTCCTGGATGGCAAAGCTGATCATGTAAGGCTTTTAGACTAGTGATCGCTGAGCAATGAGGATACACTAATCGAGATAAAGCATCGGCTGGAAGGTTATCTTTTCCAGGCCTGTGCATAATGTCAAATGCATAAGGCGAAAGCTCAATCCTCCAACGGGTTATTTTATCGTTCTTAATTTTACCATGGTTTAAGAGACCGAACATGAAGGAAACTGACTGTTGATCCGTGATGACAGTGAATTGGGACCCTAGGAGGTAGTGTTTCCATTTACGAATTGCCTCCACGATAGCGTAAGCTTCTTTCTCTACTGAGTGATGATTGCGCTCTGATGAGTTAAGAGTTCTGGAAAAGAATGCAATCGGTCGAGTGGATTGACAGAGAGTAGCGCCAATTGCATAGTCTGATGCATCCGTTTCTAGAGTAAAAGGAAGATTAGGATCAGGCGTGGCCAGGACAGCTTTGGCAATTTCAGATTTTAACAGTTGAAATGCTTTTATCTGTTTGTCATTGAGAGGAAATGAAGTGACATGAGACAGGGGGTGAATCTTGTCTGAAAAGTTCTTGACCCACCTAGAGTAATGAGCGAACAAGCAAAGTACACTCTTTAAGGATTTGTCATTGTTGGGTGCAGGCATGCCCAGGAGAGGTTGTATTCTGTCAGGATCGGGCTTTATGGAATTATGACTAACAAGATATCCAAGAAGCTTAATCGAAGTGACCCCGGACACTGTTTTACTATCATTAAATTCAAGATTGTACTTAGCAGCAGCTGTAAGGAATTCTGCTAGGTTATTATCATGCTCCTCCTTAGTCATGCCTACGATGGTGATATTATCAACATATACGTATACACCAGATAGGTGTTCTGCAGCTATGATATCGTTGACAGTTCTTTGAAAGGCAGACACTCCGTTAGTCACCCCGAAAAGGATAAACATGAAACAGTAGAGCTTACCATCAGCTTCGAAAGCGGTATATTCTTGCTCGTCTTCGGCAATAGGGACCTGGTGGTAAGCAGATGAGAGATCAAGTGTACTGTAGTACTTGCGCTTTGAGATATCTTCTACCATCTCGTCGATTCGAGGGACTGGATAAGCATCCAATTTAGTAAATCTGTTTATCGTTTGGGAGTAATCGATGACAAGGCGTTTCTTGTGATTCTCATTCCCTTGGTGGACCAGGACCTGGGCTCTCCATGGAGACTCGCACTCTTTAATGATTCCTGCTTCTAGCAGCTTTTTAACCTCGACTCTGATAAATGTTTTATCAATGTTAGAATATCTCCTTGATTTGATGCTTATAGGGTGGCTGTCTCCCTCTAATTGTCCAAAGAGCTTAGGTGTTTTGATGAGACAAGCAGCTGCAGATACAATAGTAGGAGGTTTGTGGCCTCCAAACTCCAATGTCACGGATTTGTAATCAGAAAGGATATCTAGTCCTATGATCATATCAGCACATAAGTCCTTCATTACCACAATCGTTTGATTTGGTAATAATTCACCATTGAAATGAACATCTACTGTACAGTGACCGACAGGATGAGAGATGTGGGATGAAGAGGCCATACTGACAGGTGCATGGTCTCCGCGATTAATGTCCCATTGATGCTTCCGGACACTGGCATTACTGAGAAAAGTTGCTGAACTTCCAGAATCTACCAAGGCATCAAGCTCTCTCCCATTGACAAGGACTCTGGTAATACTCTTGGACAAGCATGGAGGCGAAGCTGCAAGATAATGGTTGTGGAGAGCCGATGATGTCCCGTTTTGGGATTGAGAGCTACTGTGAGGGACTGCTGATGATGTCATATTCTGAGAGCTACGATATTGATTGTTACGTCGATTCTTGCCGCGGGCACTGCCGCCCCGAACTTGAGATTGGCGACCGGCTTTGCAGACTTTCTGGAAATGTCCCTGAATTCCACAACCGTTGCAGTTAGAGTTAAAAGCAGGACAGGCCTGTCTGTTTGTGTGCGGTTTGGGCCCACCGCAGAAATAACAGGAGAATTGAAATGGGGCAGCTGCTACAAAGTTGTCATCATGGTTAGCACACCCTTCTGAATCTGACACTGATTCATTGTTATTAACAATTGCGTTGAGAGATGAACTTTGGTTGACATAAGATTGGGCCTGAACCTTTGCTGCCTCTAGCCCTCTAGCTAAGGAATAGATGTCTGACAATGCAGTCTTCTCGCTTTCCAATACCCGTTGACGTATACCAGGAGACTGTAGGCCAGCTATAAATGCCTCTCTTATGGCTTCATTTTGGTGTGTAGCCTCATTTACTGCACCGAAAACGCAGTCTTTGGCTAAAAATTTGAGTTTTTGGTAATAGGCGTCCACTGTATTGGAGTCTTGCTTGCAAGTGTTAAGCAGGTGTCGTGCAAAAATGACGTTCCTCTTAGGATTGAAGACACTCTCCAATGCTGCAATTGAAGCTGTGTAATCAGCTGTCTCCGAAATATGAGCATAGATCTCCGTGCTTACATAGTTTACGAGTAGGTCCTGTTTGTTAGCCTCCGTAATGCTAGCGATTGATCCAATGAACTTCACGAACCTAGCTTTCCAGTGCTCCCACTCCTTGGAACTGTTGGCAGCAGAGGGGTCGGCGCTAAAAGTCTCAGGACGCAGTAGTTTGTCCATAGTTGTTACCTCAGTGTGATTAAATGAAGTATAAGTAAAACTCTTTGTTCATTTAGACTTAATCACACTGAGGTTAAAACATTCTGAAACATTATAAACATTAGTATTAAAATAACTGAAATAAATAAACAAGAAATATAACACTACTGCAAAGTAGAAATTTTTCTGAGACAATAGAGAAACTAACCTTGTCTCACTAAATTCAACCACTTTCCATAATAAAATACTAACAAATAAAGTTTTTAGAATAATTATATTCAACCACTAAAGAATATTTCCTCAAGTTTACTTCTAGTTAACTAATTCGTGGTTTAAGCTCTTATTTTATTTATGAAAGGAATGTAAAATAAAACTTATTGTTTCATTGACCTAATCTACTATATATCAGACCAAGGAATGATAATTAGACAACTGCAGTTAACTATGTCACACAAAATGTGACATATGAAACATTATAGTGCCTAAAAACAATATATTTTCTTTCTGAGCAGTGCATATGGGAGTATAGGTTACGTGGCTAATGTTCAGAACTTCTGAACGTGCTAGGATAATAGATGTCAAAATTAAGCCACTATCGTCGAAAACGCTATTATTTTTGTTTACCAATATCCTCAAACTCAAATGAACGTGTCCATAAACACATATTTTTTACAGGGTCTGTGGGATATCGTTAAAGGACTATAATTATTAATAAATTTAGATTTTTTTGAGATAAAACTTTTGTTTAAATAGATATAATATATTTATAAATAAATTTGCCTCAACATTAAGATATTCCCAAGGAAGATGTTCATTTAAGTCATTCAGAGGCTTAGTATAAATGTATCAAGATTATTCAATTATATTTCAGTTCAGAATTTATGGACAAATATTATAATGAAAAGATAACACAAAATTTCATTGCAGGATGAGCAGTATTGAATCAAGCTGGTTTAAATCTATAGTTAAGGCTCTGAACTTTGATGTTCTGATAGCAGGCCTGACTGGTGGTGCTGTTTCCACGCTCATACTTCACCCGCTTGACGTCGTCAAAATCCAGTTACAGGTTTCCGAAAATCACTCCTACCATGAAAGAAAAGTTTACAAGAACATGAGGGATGTTATTCCGACCGTCTACAGAAATGGAGGGCTCCTGAGTTTTTACCAAGGAGTGAGCCCCAATCTAGTTGGAGCGGCTTGTTCTTGGGGGCTTTATTTCTTTATTTATCACGGTTTAAAGACTTCTACCTTACAGAACTCAGATAAAACATCATTGGGCATGGCAGAACACTTGGCATATGCTGCAATTGCTGGCTTTATGACTCTTACCTTAACAAATCCCATTTGGGTGATTAAAACTAGGATGGTACTGCAAGCCTCCAGTAAAAACACCATGTATCGAGGTCTGGTGGACGGACTCAGTCAGGTTGCTAGAAAAGAAGGGCTCCGCGGTCTCTACAGTGGCTACCTACCTGGATTGTTCGGCATTTCTCATGGTGTTATTCAGTTTGTATCATACGAAAAAATGAAGGAGTATTATTACAAGAAAAACTCGTACAATCTCGACGAAAAGCTAGGTGTGTTTCCCTACATAGCGCTGAGCGCTTCAAGCAAAGTGCTAGCAGTTTCCTTGACATACCCTTACCAAGTTATAAGATCTCGATTACAAGACGCATCCTGTCAGTACAACGGTTCCTGGGACATTATTATGAGAACTGTGAGAAATGAGGGGTGGAGGGGATTTTACAAGGGGATAGTGCCTAATCTGATCAGAGTAACCCCTGCCTGTTGTATTACTTTTGTTTGTTTTGAGAATGTTATGCATTATCTTAAGGCTTACAAGACAATATGATGATGATTTGTGTTACAATAAAGTAATGTTGTAGGAATTGAGAATTTGTTAGGTATTATTTTTATACGATAATATGGCATATGTGCTCAATTAAGGCCAAATTAGGTCAAGCTAATTAGTTTTAGTAATTTATTATATAATAGATGTTTACTGGACACTAAAACCAGCAAGAATGTTGAAATTATTCCAAGTATGTAGATACTGCCAATAGTTACTCTGTATAGTGCAATTTTTATTTTATAATTTTTGGCTCAATCCTATCAGCTTTTACGGTACTGACAAAAATTGATATGACATTATTCATTCTGGAAAAATCCCATATCAACTTTTCTTATGAAATTATTTTGTTTAATTTTTTAACTTCATTAAAAAACGGTTATAGTATAAAACCGAGACAAAGTTTCATACATGCTTGTTGAAGTTTCTTTTTAGAAAATTTCATCATGAAATTTTCATCACTGAGTCTATTCAGAAATTAAGTAAGAATTTTCTCGAAACAATCATCAAATGAGACTCAATACTTACTTAGCATACTTAAGAGAGATTCGTAAATTCCTGGGTCATCGAATAGTTCGACTGCCCTTGCAACATAGCTGCTGCCTTGTTCATACTCCATTCCGGAGGAATTTCAATTAGGGCAGCTCTGCACTTGCTCACAGATGGAAAGGATTTAAGAAATAACAGTAACCCACCCAGTACCTACCCACCCAGTACCTACCCACCCAGTAACTACCCAGTACCTACCCACCCAGTACCTACCCACCCAGTACCTACCCACCCAGTACCTACCCACCCAGTACCCACCCAGTACCCACCCAATACCTACCCAGTACCTACCCACCCAGTACCTACCCACCCAGTACCTACCCACCCAGTACCTACCCACCCAGTACCCACCCAGTACCTACCCACCCAGTACCCACCCAGTACCTACCCAGTACCCACCCAGTACCCACCCAGTACCTACCCAGTACCCACCCAGTACCCACCCAGTACCTACCCACCCAGTACCCACCCAGTACCCACCCAGTACCCACCCAGTACCCACCCAGTACCCACCCAGTACCTACCCACCCAGTACCTACCCACCCAGTACCCACCCACCCAGTACCCACCCACCCAGTACCTACCCAGTACCCACCCAGTACCCACCCAGTACCTACCCAGTACCCACCCAGTACCCACCCACCCAGTACCTACCCAGTACCCACCCAGTACCTACCCACCCAGTACCCACCCAGTACCCACCCACTACCTACCCACCCAGTACCCACCCAGTATCTACCCAGTACCCACCCAGTACCCACCCAGTACCTACCCAGTACCCACCCAGTACCCACCCAGTACCTACCCACCCAGTACCCACCCAGTACCCACCCAGTACCCACCCAGTACCCACCCAGTACCCACCCAGTACCTACCCACCCAGTACCTACCCACCCAGTACCCACCCACCCAGTACCCACCCAGTACCCACCCAGTACCTACCCACCCAGTACCCACCCAGTACCCACCCAGTACCCACCCAGTACCCACCCAGTACCTACCCACCCAGTACCTACCCACCCAGTACCTACCCACCCAGTACCCACCCAGTACCTACCCACCCAGTACCCACCCAGTACCCACCCAGTACCCACCCAGTACCTACCCACCCAGTACCCACCCAGTACCCACCCAGTACCCACCCAGTACCTAACCACCCAGTACCTACCCACCCAGTACCTACCCACCCAGTACCCACCCAGTACCCACCCAGTACCCACCCAGTACCTACCCACCCAGTACCCACCCAGTACCCACCCAGTACCCACCCAGTACCTACCCACCCAGTACCTACCCACCCAGTACCTACCCACCCAGTACCCACCCAGTACCTACCCACCCAGTACCCACCCAGTACCCACCCAGTACCTAACCACCCAGTACCTAACCACCCAGTACCCACCCACCCAGTACCCACCCAGTACCTACCCAGTACCCACCCAGTACCCACCCAGTACCCACCCAGTACCCACCCAGTACCTACCCACCCAGTACCCACCCAGTACCCACCCAGTACCTACCCACCCAGTACCTACCCACCCAGTACCTACCCACCCAGTACCCACCCATTACCCACCCAGTACCTACCCAGTACCCACCCAGTACCCACCCAGTACCTACCCACCCAGTGCCCACCCAGTACCCACCCAGTACCCACCCAGTACCCACCCAGTACCCACCCAGTACCTATCCAGTACCCACCCAGTACCTATCCACCCAGTACCCACCCACCCAGTACCCACCCAGTACCTACCCACCCAGTACCCACCCACCCAGTACCCACCCAGTACCTACCCACCCAGTACCCACCCACCCAGTACCCACCCAGTACCTACCCACCCAGTACCCACCCAGTACCCACCCAGTACCCACCCAGTACCCACCCAGTACCTACCCAGTACCCACCCAGTACCCACCCAGTACCTACCCACCCAGTACCCACCCAGTACCCACCCAGTACCCACCCAGTACCCACCCAGTACCTACCCAGTACCCACCCAGTACCTACCCAGTACCTACCCACCCAGTACCCACCCAGTACCCACCCAGTACCCACCCAGTACCCACCCAGTACCTACCCAGTACCCACCCAGTACCCACCCAGTACCCACCCAGTACCCACCCAGTACCTATCCAGTACCCACCCAGTACCTACCCAGTACCCACCCAGTACCTACCCAGTACCTACCCAGTACCTATCCAGTACCCTACCCAGTACCCACCCAGTACCCACCCAGTACCCACCCAGTACCTACCCACCCAGTACCCACCCAGTACCTACCCAGTACCTACCCACCCAGTACCCACCCAGTACCCACCCAGTACCCACCCAGTACCCACCCAGTACCTACCCAGTACCCACCCAGTACCCACCCAGTACCCACCCAGTACCCACCCAGTACCTATCCAGTACCCACCCAGTACCCACCCAGTACCCACCCAGTACCCACCCAGTACCTATCCAGTACCCACCCAGTACCTATCCACCCAGTACCCACCCACCCAGTACCCACCCAGTACCTACCCAACCAGTACCCACCCACCCAGTACCCACCCAGTACCTACCCAGTACCCACCCAGTACCCACCCAGTACCCACCCAGTACCTACCCACCCAGTACCCACCCAGTACCCACCCAGTACCCACCCAGTACCCACCCACCCAGTACCCACCCAGTACCTACCCACCCAGTACCCACCCAGTACCTACCCACCCAGTACCCACCCACCCAGTACCTACCCAGTACCTACCCACCCAGTACCCACCCAGTACCTACCCACCCAGTACCCACCCACCCAGTACCCACCCAGTACCCACCCAGTACCTACCCAGTACCTACCCACCCAGTACCCACCCAGTACCTACCCACCCAGTACCCACCCAGTACCCACCCAGTACCCACCCAGTACCCACCCAGTACCTACCCACCCAGTACCTACCCACCCAGTACCTACCCAGTACCTACCCACCCAGTACCCACCCAGTACCCACCCAGTACCCACCCACCCAGTACCCACCCACCCAGTACCCACCCAGTTCCCACCCAGTACCCACCCAGTACCCACCCAGTACCCACCCAGTACCCACCCACCCAGTACCCACCCAGTTCCCACCCAGTACCCACCCAGTACCCACCCAGTACCTACCCACCCAGTACCTACCCACCCAGTACCTACCCAGTACCTACCCACCCAGTACCCACCCAGTACCCACCCAGTACCCACCCAGTACCCACCCACCCAGTACCCACCCAGTATCCACCCAGTACCCACCCAGTACCCACCCAGTACCTACCCACCCAGTACCCACTCAGTACCTACCCACCCAGTACCCACCCAGTACCTACCCACCCAGTACCCACCCAGTACCCACCCAGTACCCACCCAGTACCCACCCACCCAGTACCCACCCAGTACCCACCTAGTACCCACCCAGTACCTACCCACCCAGTACCTACCCAGTACCCACCCACCCAGTACCCATCCAGTACCTACCCACCCAGTACCCACCCACCCAGTACCTACCCAGTACCTACCCACCCAGTACCTACCCACCCAGTACCTACCCACCCAGTACCCACCCAGTACCCACCCAGTACCTACCCACCCAGTACCCACCCAGTACCCACCCAGTACCCACCCAGTACCTACCCAGTACCTACCCAGTACCTACCCACCCAGTACCCACCCAGTACCCACCCAGTACCCACCCAGTACCCACCCAGTACCCACCCAGTACCCACCCAGTACCTACCCACCCAGTACCCACCCAGTACCCACCCAGTACCCACCCAGTACCCACCCAGTACCCACCCAGTACCCACCCAGTACCTACCCAGTACCTACCCAGTACCTACCCACCCAGTACCCACCCAGTACCCACCCAGTACCCACCCAGTACCCACCCAGTACCCACCCAGTACCTACCCACCCAGTTCCTACCCACCCAGTACCCACCCAGTACCCACCCAGTACCCATCCAGTACCCACCCAGTACCCACCCAGTACCCACCCAGTACCCACCCAGTACCCACCCAGTACCTACCCACCCAGTACCCACCCACCCAGTACCTACCCACCCAGTACCCACCCAGTACCCACCAAGTACCCACCCAGTACCTACCCAGTACCTACCCAGTACCTACCCACCCAGTACCCACCCAGTACCCACCCAGTACCCACCCAGTACCCACCCAGTACCCACCCAGTACCCACCCAGTACCCACCCAGTACCCACCCACCCAGTACCTACCCACCCAGTACCCACCCAGTACCCACCCAGTACCCACCCAGTACCTACCCAGTACCTACCCAGTACCTACCCACCCAGTACCCACCCAGTACCCACCCAGTACCCACCCAGTACCCACCCAGTACCCACCCAGTGCCCACCCAGTACCTACCCACCCAGTACCTACCCACCCAGTACCCACCCAGTACCCACCCAGTACCCACCCAGTACCCACCCAGTACCCACCCAGTACCTACCCACCCAGTACCTACCCACCCAGTACCCACCCAGTACCCACCCAGTACCTACCCACCCAGTACCCACCCACCCAGTACCTACCCACCCAGTACCCACCCAGTACCCACCCAGTACCCACCCAGTACCTACCCAGTACCTACCCAGTACCTACCCACCCAGTACCCACCCAGTACCCACCCAGTACCCACCCAGTACCCACCCAGTACCCACCCAGTACCCACCCAGTACCTACCCACCCAGTACCTACCCACCCAGTACCCACCCAGTACCCACCCAGTACCCACC